GAAATAAGATTATTATAGCGTTAAACAAAGAAAATTCTTGAATGAAGTCATTATATAATTCAACCAAGAAAAAAAAAGTTGAAATTCTTATAAGAAGATGTAGATTGCTTCATATATACGCAACATTACTATAATCTTCTTATAAGAATTTTAACATTTCAACTTTTCTTTTCAACAATTTTTTTCTTGGTTGAACTATATAATGAGTTAATTCAAGCAAGTTTTCTTCGTTTAACGCAATATAATCTCATTTCAAGATAATATATTCTTGCGTATATATGAGTAGGTATAAACAGTGTTGATTTAACACTTCTTTTTTTCTGTGTACAACTAGAATCTGAGACACTAATAATGTATAGAAATTTTTTTATAAATCATTATGTCTATTATGCAATGTAACATCATATCTATTATGCAACATAAGTGTTATAATATTATAGTCTGTATTTATGACATGTCTCTTTTAATAAGATCTAATTATCTTTATGTATTTATATTTATCTGTATGTCTTTTATTATAATTCGATCTATATGTAATAATATAAAAATATGATCTTATATATATTTATCTATATGTCTCTTAATAATTTGCTCTATATGTAATAATGTAAAAATATGACTATATACAATAAATAAGTTGTTCTGCCAATATTTAATAACAAAAGAAGTATTTAATTGTCAAAAGTTGTCAAAATAAATACTTCTTTTGTTAAAAATATGACCTTTAATTTCTATATCTTTTAAGATTTCAATATCTCAGGCTTTAATACTTCTTCTTTTCAATTGTTTTTTTTTCCTCTCGCAAAATTATCTGCATACGACTTGCATCAACCATAGGTTTCTTCGTTATCGGCTCTAGCGATAAATTTCCTTCTTGATTATATGTGGGTATTCCCTTATCGTCTATCGTTATCCAAATTTTATTATCAGATACAGATAAAATAGTTACTTTAAGCTTTAAATATAAATTTTGTGTTTTGCATAAAAACAATTTTTTTTAACAGCACTTTAACAACACTTAATAACTTTCCAAACGAAATCTTTGATATTAGCATACAAGTAGTAATTTTAGATTTAAGTATCTCAATTGTGTCGAAGATTAAATCGCAACGATGTCTCTCTCCTTCATGGTTATTTATAATTAGCACGATAAGAAAGCTGGAATTTACGCAACCTCGTGATAAGATCTACTTCAGTAATCACTGATTTCTACTTCATCTTCTTTTTGATTAAACACACGCATATAATAAAGAACTCCTTCTCCAGGTTGAGTTTTAATAATAGCGTCTCAAGTTTATTGGACAAGATATTTTGAACTATGAAAATAATAGATAAAACAGTACGATAATGTTTCACATATCATTTGGCAACATGATAAATTTAGTATTTGCTCTCTTTCCACCTTTACATAAAATTTATTTAAATTTCTTTCTATCGAGAAATAAAATTCCAAATCAAATTTTTTGAAAAATGGAAAGAAGAAAAATTAATTAATTATTTTATGAAATAAATTCTAAATATCGTTAAAGATCTTCGAGGATTATTTATATAATTTAGAACTTAAAGAACGAAACATTCTGAATATCACATGAATATATAATCAAAATTTTCAAAATTTGCAATTAATTCAACTGATTTAATTTAATTAACCAAATCTGTTCGACGTAACTATTTCTTTGTGTTATTAAATATAATTATTAATACTGTAGTTAAATTGCCTTATAAAATAATTTCTAAAGTAAAAGTTAACTTTTGTTTCATCAATCAGATAATTTCAGATTTCAAAAGCGATTGTGTCTGGTGAACTTTGCGCTCTAATATATTTTTAAGTTCTTCAAATATAGTATCTGGTAGCGAACAGATTAACAGATGTGCAATGCGTTGTCATTTATCTCTTTACTGCAATAATGAGTAGAAATCGTGATGATACCGCTCGTAGCCGTAATAATCAGTCACCGATCACGATGGCATTATCTCAAAAACGTGCTTCACCGTGTAATCACGTGCTCCGCTCGCACGATTCACGCTCGAGGGACACGCATGGATTGCAGACAAGAGTCTCACCTGTCGTACGTGTCGATAGCTGCGACCAATCGCGATACGTGAATCTTGATTCACACCTCTGGTTTGGGATCAGACATGAATTTGCGATTGGGTAACGAAATTTTACATTTCTACGTTGTTCCTTAAGTACTGTAAATATAATATCTGATGCTATCCGATCTCATGAGACGCCAGCTACCTGTTTACCTGAGGCTTTGTCATCTCGTAAACCCGATTGTTGCACAATTTGTAGGAAACGTGCGTCAATCGGCATTACTTTGCTGACAATGTCAACACTCGTTTCGCAAAAGTGTCCCAATCAAAACTCTGACATATTTCCAAGCTTTTTAAACGAAATCTTGCACTTTTTATTTTATTCCTGTTTTTTATTTCCCTTTATAAAAATGTAATATAATGCCAAAATTTAAATGTCTTATTATATGTTTTACGAAAGAAATATATATCAAATATTAAAAATTTTTAATGCGCGGTTAAGAAAAAAAAATTTCCTTAATCAATTCCTCGATAATATTATGCAGTCTTCAGTACAACTATCTTAAATCAAGAAATATATCTGCAAGCTATATTAACTAAGCCAATTACAATTAACTCGTGAGAATAAATCATACATGGATTTTCACGTTAACGTTTTTCTTTCTTTAGTTATTGGCCGTAATCCAATCTGCATTAGTTACCCGTACTTAGGAGCAATTATCGCATAATAAATTTGTAGACATTTTTATGAAAAGTTGGAGCGAGACAGACGCACGAGAAAACTCCTTTAATTTCACATAAATAAAATATGCGAGAGAGATAAAAACGGAATAAATTTTTGAAAAGAGAGTGAGTTTCTCATTAGTGATTGTGAAGCAATACAATTATCGGATATTACCGGATAGATAAGATTACTTAAAATAATAATTAATAATACGAGGATAAGATTACTTAATATTTTTATAAATCAATTTTATAAATTAATAAATATGTTTTGCACCTTAACTTTATTATTGTTATACATCTAATTAGTATAGAGACAAGAAATATGTTTGGACTCACCAAAACTGTAACGGGACTATCAATAATAATAAATCGCATTGGCCTCGATAAAGCTGCCCATGTCGATATTTCTGAAATAAAAAAATTCTACGTATAGTACTTAATCTTTAACTAATTAAATAATTACAAGAGTCGAATTGATATTGTTATCAAGATTAAAGAAGCAATTATTATCGTACAAATGGCACTGATATTTCATCTCGCTTTAATAAACGATAAAACGATATTAAACTGCTGTCTCGTATCAAATTAAAAAAACTAATAAATAATTAAACGTATAAAATACACAGCCTATCTTATCTACTTCTGGTATCAAAAAATATTGAAATAAATGTTATATGTACCTTAATAATGTAATAAATGACAATAAACAACAAAAAATAAAACCTGATAATAAAAAATTAAGAAACGCAATTAAGAATATCTCTTGTAGCATAGAAATTCACTACGTTAATGAAATATCATTGACACTAAACGACTAAACACATTTAAGTAAAAGATTCATTCCTTCATAATGAATATTACGTTAGTAATATAGTATGTTTTAACAGGTGCAGAAAGAATTCAAGCTTTAATAGCAAATCGGAAAAAATCAACACAATTATACGTTGATTTTATAATATGAACGACATTTTACCTTGAAAAATACGCTCAGAAATAGATACAATAAATCAATAGATATCGGTATTTTGCATTAACGTGCGACTGATTACATCAATATTATGCAATAATCAATAGATAAAATAAATCAATAAATTTATATCAGTATTTTGCATTAACGTGCAATTAATTACATCAATACAATATTATATGTATTCCATGAAACGTGTTGTGTTTAATGATCATGTAACGTTCATCAACCAACATTTTTTAGAAAGAATATTTTGCAGAAACTAACAATAAGTATTTATAGAAATTGCAAATTATTATTAGAACATTGTTATTTAAATATAAAATTTTCATCTAGTTTTCATATAGAGAGTTTTCGTATAGTTAAAAAATAACATCACAGAGTAACTTATTACTTTTTGATTATTCATAATTAATCATAAATAATTTTTTATTAATCGTAATATGAAGATACTTATATCGTTTCGTTTTTGTTTGTCGACCAATAGTAAACTATTGTCGCATTACCTCGCCAATAATTTACTACACTCAGAGAAATGGACAGTTTGTTCAAAAATGAACGAATGAATAATCCGATATTTTTAGTCAGAATTATGAAAAGTCGATCAAGATTAGAATAATATCCAATCAATGATAGCCGGATATCATTGATAATTGATTGGCTATTCATAATTTCGATTAAAAATATTGGATTATCCATTTGTTAATTTTTGAACGAACTGTCCATTTCTCTGAGTGTATTGGTCTACAAATAAAAGAGCAATGCGCGCGGAGAATACCTTCTCCAATATAAGAAAAACTATAAGAAAACCTATAAGGTTGCAACTTGCAACCATGCGAATTGGCGGTATTTGTTCTCGCGACAAAGACTACTCAAAAGTATATATTCACATATATCAAGTCCTTTACTTGCACATACGGGGTTTCAAAACCCTCGATTGTAATTTTTATGTTAATTTCTATTATGTATGCAAAAATTAGGATTATGATAAAAATGAAGAGATGGCAGCGACGCGACGCCCAGACAAAGAAAGATCACGCGGTAAGGTGCCTCGTGCTTTCCGGGTACACGAATGAATCCATAACACGAATATAAGACAAAATGGCAGGGAGCCAGTCAATTACGGTCGGATTAGCACGGTATACGAGGGGGATCCCTCTTCTCTCTCTCTCTCTCCCTTTCCGCACGCAGAATCCGCGTAGCCAGTGTCCCTTGCACGCTTCGCTACCTCGTGCCGCCACGGCCTTTGAAACGCTATATAAAGTGACAAAGCTGGCTTATTGGCGGGCACGCTCCACTATCCTCGCATCGGCTTTAAACTCGCGCTTTCCGGCCGCATCGCGCGAACCGAAAAGAAGTCAGAGCCGGCCGCGGGCGGCTTTTATTACGGATACTATCGGCGACTGATCAACTGGAGAAGTGGCGAGGTGATTACAAAACGCGATTTAAAGGACGCCGCTCGCTGTGCCGCGTGCTTCATTCCCGACGATGTCACGCTTCAAGACGCGCATTGCCGAGACATCGTTGAATTGACGTATCGACAGGTCCAATCGAATTGACACCGTCGTGGTGACACGCCGTATACCGAGTTCCTTTACGACACCTCAGGTAAGTGGTAATTCGGTTTGCCATTTGCTGCGTGCAAGATTAAAGCTGCATCTCGGGATGCTTAAGGAACACGTGAGAAGATTCGAACAATCAAGCTTGCTGAAGAGGCAGCGAGATAGGAACTAGGTCGGCGAGCGACCCCGTTCGAATGTATACACGTTAATATCGTCAATCCGTATCGTCGTTCAAATAATGTTCTGAAAAATTGTCAATTTAATCTCGCGATAGATTTGATAGAAATAAATAAGAAATAAATAACCGAAAATTTTAACGAATTATTACAAGCCGAATTGGTATATAATAAGTTATATAATAAGGTATATAATAGTTGGTATATAATAAGCTATTATTAGCGAGTTAAGTAAAATAATACAGAGCTAATTATCTTCCCAAACTTGGAAAATAATGAAATACACTTATTTCTATTTCATTTAAATGAAATAGGTATAATATACTTTCTTAAACATTCTAAATTTTATTTAAAAGAAAAATAGAGAACTTAATGCAATTAATACTTGAAAATAAACATTATCTTAAAATTATCCGATTATCAAAAAATGATTTAAGATTACTGTACACACGGCATGAATATTATCATATATAATTTAATAGATATTTATAATAATTATAATAAGATATCTTAACACATACACACCCATATTATTGTTTAATGTCCGAGTATATGGAGGGGAAAAAGTCATAGTGATGTAAGTCAAATTTTTAAAATATTGACTCGTGTGCATAGATGCAATCTATACAATATATACATTGCATCCATGCACACGAGTTAATATTTTTAAAAATTTGATTTACACTACTATGGCTTTTATTCCTCCATATAAAAATAATACAACATATATAAAGTATCATTTTTCTCTTCCTCAACTTGTTAGCAAGCAAATTGTTCCTTACATGTCGCATATAAGGTAAATAAGATAATCGTGGTCAGCGTGTAATTATACTCAATTATATGCTGTCGTAACCAAACAATTTTCGATCAGGATAACAATACATACATTTCGCAAAGAAACTACGAAGTTATACAATAGTCGTGTGTTTTGCTTCAAAAACGGAAAATTACAAACAGAATTGTGCGCGAAGTACTTGCAAACGTTTATGTAAACGTGGGAAAAGTGTGCAAGAAGAATTGCAAAGCCAATCGAGCCAGAACTCCCCGGTATAAGTAGGATACATTTGTCATTATAGTAATTTTATTAGCTTGGTAACTGACTCTTATACAGTTCCCCTTTATCACCTATGATGATCGTTTAATGCAAAGCTAATGGTGCGTTAAATTAGGAACAGCTGATCGCGTCGGGTGAGCCATAATTTATGCTGACTATAGTATTAGTAGGGTAAAAGACCATATTACTAACAATATCCATCACATTATTGGCAATCAAATTTTAAATGCTTTTTTTAAATATAAAACTTATATCTTACATTATTTTATTATATTTCAATAGAATTCTGAACAAGTCTAATTAATGTTATAGCGACTAATTAAAAATAAAAGCCAATCCGCTAATAAAAAAAAAACTTACAGATTTTGAAATTTCCTTTAAAATTCTCAAGAACTAATTATGTGTACATATAGTTTATTCACAGTTAAGTTAGTCTCAGTTTAATGATTTAGAGATTATTAATGAATTATTGATACAGTGTGCATGAAACGAAGAGAATTATTAATAAGAAATTTTATTCGGCCTAACTGACCACATTTATTAATTATAATCGTCACGACATTCCGACCATTAATTTTGGCCCTTCTCAAGTGTAAATCTAATAAATAAGTCATAAAATCAGTAATGTAGTAATGCAGTAATCAAATTTTTATCGTTCGCTATTGAGTGGTACTATGTTTCTTAATACTATTTTCACAAGTTTTATAAAATTGAGACATTGTTACTGTTACATGTATTACTTTACCGTCTATATGACACACACACGGAACATCTTTCAGATTTATGACTTGTTTTGGTGCAATGTCACGACTAGTGAGATGTTTGTTGAAGGCTGCATTATACTGATTTTATGACTTAGATTTACACTTAAGAAAGACCAAAGCCAATGATTGCAATGTCTAACGATTATAATTAATAAACGTGACCAGTAGTTCGAGTAAAAATCCTTATTGTTAATTATTTACTGGCAAACCAAAGTTTCTGATTTGGTTTAAAGTGAATTATGTAAAAACCTAATTAGAAAAATGTACTATTACAATAATAAGAATAATTGAACCAACATTTCTAAATTTAATAAAAATAATAATAATTTAATAATAACTTTGAATGAACAATAAATATAATTTTACTCATCATTAATAATAAGATACAAAAAGGAAAATTCCTCTCTATAGAATAATAATGATGAATTTTTTATTTATTGCAGAGAAAAAACATTCATAATGAAGCACTACATTCTATTACTTTGCATCGTGGCAGCTCTTCGAGATTCCGAAGCGATACGTAAAGGATCCACGGATTATGAAGGTTCGTTATAATCGTCATACTATAAAATAATTGACATATATTCAAATTAGATGCCAAAGTTCTTAAATAAATACCACAAACATAAGTTTAAGATTTCATGTTCTTCAAATTTTTCATAATTATAATATTAATAAGCATATGTCCGTTGCAAATTTTAAACGTGCCTATAATAAATATATAAAAGAATCTCAAAGTACTTTGCGTCATTCATTGATAAATTTCTGGAAAAAAGCAGATTGCTTTGATTAATTAAATCAAAGTTACGTAAATTTTGTCTTATCATAAAAAATCGATAAAATAATATGCGAAGTTCAGTCTTCATCGATCAGTATCGATACTGTATGCCTGAGGTTTTTCCGCATCGATATTGGTTTGTTAAATAACAAGCTGTTTATGTGTTATTGCAAGTTATAAATTTCGGGATATATCTCACAAAATAGCTTTTGTCAATACAAAATTGTTCATTGATAACAACATTATTATTTTAATTTCCAAATTCTATCCTGCAATGTTCTAGAAAATCAATAAGCACACAGCGCAAATGTCTTAAACTTAATTTACACATATTGATTAGTAACTTGACTTTGATCGAATTTTACTTTATCTTTTTCTATGTAGATAAAATTTCTATCGTAGATAAAATCGAGATCTCAACATCTCGTATACTCGCAACCCGTCGCGTCGCGTAAAAGAGTCACGGTGCGGTCTCGCTTCGCGTGTACTTGGCGCGAGACACTACCGTGTCTCTTGATTACATTTTAGATAGTAGTTATTAAGAGATAATGGAAGACTTCTCATTATTCCTTCAAATATTTTTTTCAATATTTTTAAATTTTCGGTTTTAATTCCATCCTATCCGTCCTATCACGATCAGTCGATTGTATTCCTTGGCAACGAAGCGAAATTCTGATCTCTTATCAGATATGTCCTTCTGGCTGAAGTCCGGCCAAGAAACCCTGCACAGAATCCTGTCGGAGCAGAAAAACGAGAATCGTGCCAAAAACGTGATCATCTTCATCGGGGACGGTATGGGCCTGTCCACCATTACGTCCGGTCGAATCTATATAGGTCAGCTCAATGGCCAAAGCGGTGAAGAATACCAACTCGCATTCGAGAAATTCTCCAACACCGGCCTCGCCAAGGTAGATATTCAAATTGCATCGATCCGTGCCTTCAATCTCGACGGGGCGGTCTCGCGAGGCACAACGATATTGGGAAATCCCGTCACGTTAAGCCGCTTAATTCCGCGCCTTTGATAAGGACGCCGCGTCTATCCTCGACAAGAAAATACGACAAACACGATGTTCGCATTACAATTAATCTCCATCGATCTTCTGCTCCCCAAGCATGAGAATTTGTTAACTTATATCACACGCCTCTACATTGACGTAATATATTTTATCACGCTATACCGGAAAAGATAAACGTGACAACGATTACAACATATCGATCGAGTCTCGTGCTTCGAAAATTTCGATTAATGGCGATAATGTACGAAAGATTATTTCCTTAAACCGAACACTCGTTATCGGTTATCGAAATTACATTACACGTTAAATACAAATATCTCACAGTTATCATACATTTGTAGACTTACAACGTAGACAAGCAAGTACCGGATTCGGCGGGGACGGCAACTGCTATATTTTCTGGCGTGAAAACCAAATACAGGCTTATTGGACTGGATGCCAGAGCCGAAAATAGCAAATGTGATAAGAAAATCAACGCATTAAGCAAAGTCACCACGGTAGCTGATTGGGCGCAGCAATCCGGCATGGATACTGGTGAGAGCTTTGACCTTTGAAAACTATATAATATCTATCTTCTCCATTAACTAAAAGATTTAAAACTGTCTACACCTTCTAGTTTTGCATAAATTATTTCTCATAGGATTATCTCATTCTATCTGGAGTCATTAGCTTAGAATTATTCATGGAGCTATAAGAAAATAATTTTAGGCGAGGAAGTTTTTATGATTGAACATTTCGTCTGCATTATAAGCAACCACACCGAAAAAAAAATCTCAAGCTAACTAAGAACTCGGCTGTGACAATAGAGCTGCTATTACTCGCCGTTTGAAACTTCGTTCGGTCGACAAATTTCGAGTGCATAATCAATAATAGTCATTCAACACAGTCAGATCAAACCTTGACATAAATCTGTGCTTCAGATTTAAGTATTTCAAATATTCTTGGAAAGTAGAAACCGATCAGAAGAAACAGATCGAAATCTCTCATGCATCGCTGACCGTTGTCGGTTGATTAAACTCTTGACTAAGCGAATTTTTCTACACGGTACGACATTGAGATAAGAAATCTATCAATTTTTATCATCAACATATAATAACCTTAAGCCATCGAGTTTAGTATTGTACGCATGATCGCATTATTTAAAAAATATAATTTTAATTTTTTAATTTAATTTAATAAATTTTCTTGTTAGTGGATATAATTTATTCATCGTGCATACGTAGTAAATTTGATCATGATCGTTTGATAATTAATACATATCTCGTATTTATAATTACAATTTATATTAAACAAACAAATCCAAATTGAAATCATGCTAATAATTCAAAGTTAATCTTACGAAATATATAATTTATATATTTAATGCTAACTTCTCTCTGGTTTAATGAAATTAATATTTATTTTTTTATATAACCATCGTTTTTCAGGCAAAAGCTTAAAAACGCGCTTTCGCTGAGAATGTATCAAATTTAAACTGAGGAAACTAGACTGAAGAAACATTTAGATTATTAAGGATATTTTTAGAAGCGGCAGTCGAATATAAATTGTACTCACGTGATATACGAATGATTACGAGTATCAAACCTATAGAGAACACGTGTCATGCGTGATCGGCTATTTCATTAACATAAGTGTTAGTCTGAATGAACCTTGTTGAAGTCATACACTACAGTGAAAGTATACTCAATAAACGAGGAGGTCATAAGCCGACCTTCTACCGTGTCGCGGACGATCGGTCGGCCATGACTGATTTCTACTTTGGCAAAATAATGGAAGCTTTTTACATGACTCGCTGATTAGTATTTAACGCATTCGTTTCCCATTGTATCTTGACCTTCGCCAGTGGTCATTTTTTCGTTACGTTGCTCTGCATGAATAAATCATCAGCGTACAGTCAGAATATGCGCGTCGAAATACAATATAAGTATCTTTACAAATTGCAACATAATATATAGTATACATACTTTATGTGACAGAAGTTTTATATTTATAACATATTATATCACGTTATTTTTAGGATCCTAATCTATAAAATTACTAAAGACTTTTAATTCTAATCATTGTTATTTCTATTCAGAAGTAAACAAATTTAAGAAATAACTCGTGCATGATTAATTAACAGGATTTGTTACCACTACTCGCATCACCCATGCCACTCCGGCGGGACTTTACGCGCACATTAATCATCGAGATTGGGAATCCGATAGTGACGTACCGAAGGATCAACAATCATGCGTTAAAGACATCGCAAGACAACTCATTGAGGATGAACCAGGAAGTCAGTTTAAGGTAATTTATCGCATCTGCGCATCTTTACATTTGTATAGATCAATATAATTTCAAATCTAACAGATTAACAGCAAATAAAAATTGTGTATAATAAATACACAATAGAACATGATAATAAAAAAATTATTAGTATCGTTAAAGAAAATGATTTATCATATTATGGAAATATCCACAATGGGAAATATAAAATCTACCTATAAAGATTATCCTGCTTCGTAACATTTTTCTAGAGATCTACGATATAATATCCTGTTTTTTATTCAAATAATCTAAATTCGCTATTGCAATTTGAATCTAATATTGAATTCATATCTTTTAAAAGGTTATCTTGGGTGGCGGAGCACAACAAATGGGCTTGAAATTGAATACGAATGATTTATCGCGATCTGATGGCAGAAACTTAGTAGACAAATGGCAAGTGAGTCATCCCAAAGGAAGAGCCGTCACCAACATGCAGGACCTCATGTCCATCGATATAGCTAACACATCGCACATCTTTGGTGTTTTCTCACCTGGTCACATGCCCTACCACGCCGTGAAGACTGACGAGATACCCTCGCTAGCAAACATGACGACGCAAGCCATACGATTGCTGAAGAAGAACAAAAATGGATTTCTGCTAATGGTCAGTAACACTGTCCAACAAAAAATGACTTCTTTTCGAACACAAGAAAAAAGATAATTATTTCCCGTAGTTTTTCGGTGCTAAATATAATCTCGTTTATTAAATTGCTCCAGTTCGAATTTAAATAACGTAATTAAAAAATAATTAATATCATCACATAAGACAAATAAAAGCAGCACGCCGTTATTAAAGCAAGAGAATTTTTCGTGTATTTCCAAGTACACAAATTTTCTTAAAAAATATTTGATAGATCCTTAAGTCGTATAATTAGCCTTGTAAGTCGCAACTTTGAAAGCCCTAACAACATACTTAATTTTAATCGCAATAAAACTTCTCCGGCATATCACATATCATAGTATAACAAAATATTGAAATTGTTTCTTTTTGTAATTTTAACACAAATTTGTGAAGTGATAAACAAATTTGGTAAACATGATAATTTTCAGCGCCCAAAAACTGTGAGAAACGATTACCTTTGTTCTTGTTTTTTTTTTTCCATTGAACAGTGTAGTCGCCGCTGAACAGCATTGAATATTTATAACGGACGTAAGTCAGATTGCTACGAAGGGGCGTTATAGGATAATGCACTCAATGAATATTAAAATGACATTAATGAAACGAAATCGAGACTACACATCAAGGAATCCTGACGGATACACGATAATGCTATTCTTATGCAAATTACGCGTTGATGACCATTTTCGTGTAATGCGTTCTTACAATTAGCCATTTGTTCTTAGACTTCATCTTCCCGGATGCATGTCGAGGTCGTGCTATTTGAGCGCATAATTCTACGCATAATTTGAGAGCGCTGCAATCTTGTTCTGTTTTCAAAGTATGGCGCAGAGCGTAACTCGAAATTGAAATATTAACAGTGAACTAATAGTTTTTTTTTTTTCAACTATTTTTTTATCTTTCAGGTCGAGAGTGGCAAAATCGATTTAGCCCACCACGGCAATTGGGCGAAACTCGCACTGCGCGAGTTGTACGAACTCGACGAGGCAGTTAAGGTGGCTCTACGGCTGTTAAATATGGAAGAAACGTTAATCATCGTCACAGCCGATCACTCGCATTCGTTCACACTGAACGGATATCCCGAGAGAGGCAACGATATCCTCGGTTTCGCCAGCAAATCATCTAGCAGGGAAGCCTACGAAACGCTATCCTACGCTAACGGTCCAGGATTCTACTACCATCGAAGAAACGACAGCAACAACGTCAACGAGACCTGGAGAAAAGTCGAGGAAGATCAGACTCGCGACGAACCCTTCTACAGGCACTTTGCTGCCAAATACCTCAAGGACGAGACTCACGGCGGAGAAGATGTCGGGGTTTATGCTACCGGTAAAAAATGCAATTTTCTTAATAAATTTCTGCTAACAATTTCAGAAAAGGATGGGATAAATAATATATTTTGCAGGCCCCTATTCGCACCTGTTCCGAGGTACTTTTGAGCAAAATTACATTGCTCACGCCGTAGCGTATGCGGCATGCTTTAAAGACTGGCCGTCTCATTGTGACAGCGCTTATCGTCGTTACTTTTACGACGTCAATATGGCACCACCAAACTCTAAGAAAAATTCAGCCGGACAAAACACGGTATCGTTTGCGATAATAATAACTTTCCTGTTTACGGCGATCTTTGTACAACTGTGATAAACGTCATTACATTTTCTTTTCGTTAGCCAAATAACTAATGATGCGCCGTGAGAAGAATTCATTTCGAGTAATAAATCATATTTATTTAAGTACAAAAAAATATTTAAGAGATATCCTTTTCTTGTGTCTTTATCGAGAGGAGTATTCCAACTTGATATACATATAATATGACGCAATAAGGTTTCTTTTGCGATGCAGATCTGCGATATTTGTAATAGACTAAACAAGTTATGATTGCAAATACCATATACGATTTTACTATAATCTCCTTTTACTGTAATCTCTTTAAATTCCTATGTTTCTCATGGATGTAATTACATTTTGACGATATATTATTATCTATGATTTTATTTATTGTTTAGAGTTCAACAAATAATCGTGATTATTGATCGCGGGTTTCATATGAACACGAGTAACACGATGATCTTTTTTGGGTTATTGCAGCAATGATGACGAATTTATTTTCAAGCATGGACAAACTTGGATGGCATTATCCACGTATTAAACACAAGTTTACAGGATTTCAAAATAATGATAGGAAAGTGCTAACAGCCGTATGACTTCGTAATATAATACATTGCCATGTTTTAGACAAAGGTGATATTACCATTAAATTATCGCGAACAAAATTCTGTCTAGTACTTTTTAGTCAGATTTTACGAAATACGTAAGGTTGTATAAAATAAGTAAAGTTGCTGTAATATAGAAAATCATCCTTCGAAATATAAGAGAAATGAAATAGTTTTTATGTACTTTAACATGTTACTTATACAAAATAAATATAAACTTATGTATATACTAGCGCATTGTATATCACAGTATATTTTGTTACAAACTGATAAAACAATTTGACCTGGATGCCTTAATCATACATAAATTATAAAATTATAATATGATTATGGATGAAATAAAGTTTCTCGTTACATTGTTTGTAAAGTTTACGTCATTATAATTATTTAAATACATAAATAATACATGAGCGAGACAATAAATCACTTAATAGATTAAGTACACATTTGATCCAATTCGGAATAAGGACAACTATGATAACAAAAAGTATTTGGCGAGTTATCAAATTTTATGTGGTTATCATATTATACATAGAATCTCTTTATGAATTTCACATACATTTGCATATAAAATAGAAGTATAGTACTAGAAATTAAAAGAGATATTAAAGCAAATGTAAAATATTCTAGGAAAGTATTCGTACGGAATTAAGTATAAAATAACTTTAAGAAAAATATCCCTTTCAACCTAGCTTATAATTTTCCTCTAACAATAGCGAGATAATAATTTTTATAAATAAGTGGCGCCGTATCGTCACTGACAAAATTTCTGTCGGGTTTGATCGAAGCGAATGGATTTCTTCGTGGCTCCAAAATTGTCTCTACATCAGCGATTGATTTTATCCTGATCATCTCTCGAGGAATTTCTTGTTTCGTATAAGACGTCACGCAAACGGGGACTTTCGTTTTACAGAATTCTCGTATCGTCTCCGGCCACGTGTCCTTACCTTCAAAACCAGTTTCGCGATAAAGACCCGGGTTAAAGAGGCACACGAGGTGCGGTTCTACGAACTGTTTGGAACGACAGAAATCGTGATAGACTTTTTCAGGATGGAACGAAACGTTTACTCGTCGACCGGACGATTTGCAAGTCGAACAGATCTTCACAGCGGTCAACAAGTCTAACGGCACCGCCGGCAAACTCAGTTCCGGACCGATGAACATCAATTTGAGAAGCTTTAAATTCGGAAGGAGATGCAGAAAGAGTTTTTCCCACACATGCAGATTTATACACTCGAATTGAAACTCGGCACCTATCACGTGGACCACGAAAGTATCGATAGTCTTCCAATTCAGGCAAGAAATTTGCATGGAATACAAAGCCGTCAATGGAATGGTTGATATATGAGAGAGACTGCAATACGTGTAGCAATCCATATCGCAATAATATGTCGAGTGATCGTAAAGCTGTGACATTAACAAATCAAAATTATCCGGCAGATAAAACGGTTCTTTCTGGAAGGTATCCGGAATCTCGGGATCAACGTGACCGGCTTTGTGCTGCATGAACAGTACCCTGCGAAACACCTGAAACTCACGGCACCACTCTTCGTGTCCGCCGTCATGATTCTCGCAGAATAAGCCGATTCCGCAAGTCGGACAGCATTTCAAAGTCGTCGAGAAGCGACGACAGCTGCAACAAACGCGAGGATAAAGAAGGATCTCCTTTTCCCAGAGCTGGAGAGGCCTGTCCAAGCTATACTGTACTATTTCGATCAATTTCAGCCGATAAACGCGATAATCATCCGCGCTGAGTTCCGACAGTGACGACAAACCACCTCCGATCGTGCAGATTTCAGTGAGAACTTTACACAGGTCGCGATGCTTCGGCCGGTCTTGCTTCATATGTTTGACGGTGCAGTAAGACACCATGCCGCAAAATCCGCAGATCTCCTCCGCTCGTTCTATGCAGATCGGACATAGGTTCGACACGAAAACAAAACGCGGCCAGAAGTTCAGCTCGATAGTGTCCTCTTCGTCGCTGTCGTCCGACGAACGATGCTGCATCGAATGCACGAGTGGCAATTTCAAGCGTGAATAAACGTCGATAGCTTCGGCAATAAAAAGATTTTCTTTACTTTGCTTTATTGCTTCTTTTTCGACGGAATTCGAATTTTCTGTCACCTCACTCTTGCAAATTTTCTGAGTGACGATTCTTTTCAAATTCTTTTTTCTTCGACCCATTGTCAGAACTGAAATAACGAAACAAGATAAATGCAACGAAGGCGGATTTTTATAACAAAAACAAATAGAATCAATTTGTTTCAACTAAATAAGCGATCGCATTACGTTATAATTAATACCTCAAATTGTATATGAGAAGTGAAAAAGATAGCTTATGCAATTAAAAATAATTCTATTTGTTCGAAAGCAATTGCGATTACATAATATATCGTGGTGTTACGCATACGAGTATTTTAGCGTTTCAAGCGCGAAATACGATTGGTTACATAACTGCGTCCCGTCAAAGAACATATCTAAACCATTATTTTAGAATATCACAACACGGAGGTCACGCGTTCGTAATTAATAAACCGGGTGTACCGCAAACACAAATAATTAAACCCAACCGCGACAGGTTCTACTTGCGTTTAATGACCTATTCTGCATCTCTCGAAAAGAGAAAACAATTATCTTCCAATTTAGCACACCGTATTCCACTATACATTACGCCATCATTGAAACGAGAAATCGTTTATTTGCAATTTTAAATGCATTACTAACATTACTACCCTCCGCGTATATTAACGAAGTAAATCACAATAAAATAATAACTGGCATAACAAATTATTAAAAATTAATTAAAAACTTAAATACTTACCTTCGAAGATTCTTCACTCTTCAGAAACAACGATTATTCAATACTTAAAAAATGTTATGTACAACGTAAAGAGCGTTGCGTTAATAATGATACCACTATTATCGAGATTATCTTGATTTTGAAATTCCCTCGTAACTTAGAGAAGCGACTTAACGTCACGATTTGATTTGGTCGAAGACCAGACACCTCGACCGTTCAAGGCACTGCGAGGTATTATCAGGGCTGCTAGTACGTCGATGGGCACTATGCCTAGTCGCCCAGACATAAGGTATTTCAAGCACCGTACTGAGAATAAACTTTATTCGAAGACGAATAGCCAAACGTGCGACGTTTTTCTCGAGAGAGAGAGAAAGAGAGTGGTATATTTTGAAGCAACCGACACATCAACTAAAATAATAAAAGGTAACAGAACTTTGACGTCCCAATTTGTAAGCATAATGCATTAAGTACATCTGATATAAATAATATAACCTCTATACGAAAATTAATTACGAGTGTTGTGTGTGTATGTGTGTGTGCATGCGCGTCCACATGCTATTATTAACGTTACAGATGATATTGTCACGAATGCAAATTTATCCTATCATCCTCGACATTCGCGAAGAGCGCACGTGTCAAGGAAATAATCAATTTAAAAATAATTATCCATTTAATAATTAATATTAAAGTAGAAATGAATGAGTGTGATTATGTTAAAACAAAATATTTGAAGATAAGTAGATTATTTTTGTGATAAGATTGTGATTTTTTATTCGTTGATTTTCAGCCTTAAATGTAACTATATCTTACTATTAAATTTTGTAAAATTTTTTTTAAGAATTATTAAAATGTGCAAGAAACTCAGCTAGTGCAGCAATACGTTAGCAGATATAATTGATGCAAAAATGGCAGAAATTAAGATATTAAAGTTTATAGTATTTAGAAAAGTACATGTATATTTTTGTATATGTATTTGAAACACTTAAAAATATTAATATAATTTTCTCATAATTTTCCGTTATCTATATAATATAGATGCAGACGTATAATATGAGCAACAACCTGTTTTTATCTTCTAATTGTGTATTCCAATTTGCAATATTACAGATAAAGTATCTTATTTCATGAGCATCGATAAATATAAATACAAAATATTTTTATTCCCAATTTTTCCCTT